GGTGGTGGCGGACGCATGCGGGCGGTGCCACTGGGATCTTCAGTGGAGCCCCCTGATGGGGCCACGAAACGGTGTGCTGGGTGGGTGAAACGCAGGGAGGAGGGAGGAGGGGGAGGAGGAGGAGGAGAGGAGGAGGAGGAGGAGGGACGCGGGGACAGTCTCTTCAAAACGAGGACCCAACACCACAGGATGATTGGGAATAAAGGGAGGAGGTGGAGGAGGAGGAGCAGGAGGAGGAGGAGGGGGAGGAAGAGGAAATGGAAGTGAGGGAGGCGGAGGACACGGAAGGGGAAGGAGGGAGGAGAGGCGGAGGCCAACCAGAAGACCAGACGTTTTTTGGACGTGTTTCGGAATCTCTTGGGATGTTGATTGGGAATTTGTTTGGAGGTTTCTTGGGGCGTCTTGGTGGCCTCTTGGTGGTCTTGCGAGCCTCTTGGGGCGTCTTGTATGCCGCTGGGAGCCTCTTGGGGTGCTCGTGGAGGGCGCGTATAGGCTTCTTGGGGGCCTCTCTGGAGTCTCTTGGAGGCTTCTTGGGGGCCTCAGAAGCCCTCTCGGAGCCATCTTGGAAGAGCTCGAGCAAAGACGGGGGGGGTCCTTAATTAGCCTCCCCCCTCGGAAGCCCCCACGATCGCCTCTTGGGCCCCTCTTCGAGCGCTCGTGGGGCGCTCTTGGGCGTTCTTGGGGCCGTCTTGGGGCTCTCTTAGGCCTATCTTGGGGCCCTCTCGGACTCTCATGGAGCCATCTTGGGGCCTCGGAATGCAATCGAAAGCAAAAAAGGCGAGCAGGCAAACCTCATTGATTTCTTGTGCGTTTGTATGATTTGGGCCTCTCGGGGGCCTCCGTGGAAGGCTCCGTCTCTTGGAGCATCTTGGAAACCATTTTGAGCCAGTTTGGGCTATCTTGAGCCATCTTGGAGGTCATCTTGGGCTCTCTGGAACGCTCTTTGAGCCATCTTGGGCCAAAAGAGCCTTCTGACACCTCGCGAAACTACCCCTCCAGGTCCAGGGGAGGGGGAGGGGTAAACCCCTCATCCAACTGTCCCCGTCACGTGGCGTCGCACCGGGGGGGTAACCCAGGAGTGACAAACCCATACTACCTATACGACCACCCTTCGGGTGATAAGGAGGTTGTGGGGGCAGGAGAGGGGGTGGAACCAACATCTGACTCAATCGATCTCACTATCGATCTCACTCAACGGGACACCACGGGACACCACGGGACACGTGTCGATCTCACGATCGATCTCACTATCGATCTCTCTCGACGGGGCACCACGGGACACCGAGGGACACCTCTCGATCTCACTATCGGTCTCACTATCGATCTCACTATCGATCTCACTCAACGGGACACCATAAGACACCACAGGACACCTCGGGACACCACATCGATCTCACTAGTTATCGACCTCACTCAACGAGACACCACGGGACACCTGTCGATCTCTTTATCGACCTCATTTTTCGGGACACCTCGGGGCACCACATCGATCTCACTATCGATCTCACTATCGATCTCACTCAACAGGACACCACGGGACACCTGTCGATCTCATTATCGATCTCATGTTTTGGGACACCTCGGGGCACCACATCGATCTCAGTATCGATCTCACTATCGATCTCACTATCGATTTCACTCAACGGGACACCACGGGACACCGCAGGACACCGCGAGCCACCGCCAGACGGGCTGGTTGGGGAGAATCATTTGTCTTGACTTCGCCCTAGCAACGGCGGGCACCACGGGACACCACGGGACACCGCGGGACACCGCTGAAGCCACCGCCGGACGGACGGACGGAGGAGAAACATTTGTCTTGATTTCGCCCTAGCAACGGCGGGTTCATTTCTCTCGCGCGCCCACTCAGCTTCGCCTCGCCCGCACGCACGACACGAACGAAACGAAATGATTTCCCGGTTGGGGGTCTCCGTTCCACTGCGATCTCACCCCCCAACTTCCGATCCCACATGGTTTTCCACATGGGATCGCAGGCGTGGGCGTATGACAACTGGGGCTAGCGATTGGCGGGCATGCTCCAGAAGACGGAATGGCCGCGCCCACCGGTTGTCGTCTTGCGTCCAGGGCGTGGGCTGAGAGTCGGCGTCCACGAGCACATCCTGGCGCAGGTCTCACACGGATCGGAACGGGGGAGGCTGGGAGAATTTCTCGAGCCCCCAGAATTATTCGACGCGAAAGTCCCCATCTATGATCTCATATTCTCGTCCCGTCTCGTTGGGGAAGTATGTCTGTGAGCATGTGGGTGTGAGAGCGAGTCCGCGTAGAGCGCGACAGTGACGACGACGACGACGACGACGACCGCGACGAATTCAGTGACGTCTTCCTCCTTTGTCAACGTTTCAGGAAAGGTGGATGAAACACAAGTTGAAAAGCGAGAGGGATTCTTTTTGCGGTTCTCATTGCGACAATTCGGACAAGAGCGCATGGCGTTGCTACGCCCGCTCTCTGGCGTGCTACTCGTGGCGCCCATTGGCACATGGGATACCCAAGCGCCGCGCATGCCAATATCACGATAGCCACTTGTGCGCGGGCAGAATATGAGCGTTAGTGTTCTGAGCGTGAGAGTCTGATTGTGACTGAGTCCGACTGTTGAACCCGCGTGTGAGTGATTCTAAGTATGATGAGTCGGAGTACCGGCGTGTCTGAGTATGAGCGAGTCTCAGTGTGATTGGGTCTGGTTATTGGTGATTCTGTGAGTGCGAGTGAGCCTGAGTGCGAGTGGGTACGCGTGTGAGTGGATATGGGTGCGAGCGGGTATGGGTACGAGTATGATGAATATGGGTATGAAGAAGAGTTAGCCTGAATACGATCGGGTCTGAGTATGAATGGGTACGGTGGTGGATGAGTCCGAGTTCGGGTGAGTCCGAGTGTGAATTAGCTCGGCGGTGGACATCAGTTTCAGTGCGTCTGAGTATGAGTGAGTCGAAGTGTATGAGTGAATATATGTATGAATGCGTCTGAATATGGGTGCGTCTGAATGTGCTGGGTGGGTTTGGGTGGTGAAGAGCTGCCCACAGGTAAGTGGGAATGTAAACGCGTGCGTCGAATTTAGAAAGAGGAAGAAGGGGGAGGAAGAGGAGGAGGAGGAGGAAGAAAAGCATACGGAGGATATGTGTGAGTGAGTGAATAGCATACGTCCGGTGATAGCTGGGGGGGCACAAGCACGGAAACCATTTGAGACATTTCCACCGATGGTGGCTCCCCCTTGGAAAGCTTGAATCAGCGCCCTCGCCCGAGACATCCTCACGAACTTCTCCGAGCCCGGAGGACGACGAGTTCCCAGAAAGCAATCTGCGTGGGACATCCCCACAATCTTGGCGCGAATCCTGGGACGTCCCCGCCCCAGGCGGCTCCCCTCTGAGAGTGCTGAAACCAACGCCGTCGCCTGAGACATCCTCGCGGACCGCTCCGAACACGAGGGACGGTGGGTTCCCAAACAAGCAAACCGCTTGAAGCCACAATCTGGGCGCAAATCCTGGACTGTGCCCCGCTGGGAGTGTTGGATCAAGCGCCCTCGCCTGACACATCCTCGCAAACTGCTTCGATAGCAGAGGGGTTCCCAAACAAGCAAACCGCTTGAAACATCCCCACAAACTGGACGCGAATCCTGGAGTGCTCCCACCCCCAGCGGCTCCCCTTTGGGAGTGCTGAAACCAGCGTTTTGTTTGAGACATCCTCACAATCTGTTCCGACGGCAGAGGATGTTGGGCACCCAAACCAGCAAACCGCCTGAGACCGCGAATCCTGGACTGTCCCACCCTGGCGGTTCCCATTTGGGAGTGATGAAGCCAGCGCCTTGCTTGAGACATCCTCACAAGCTGCTCCGAAAACACAGAATGGCGGGCACCCAAGAAGGCAAACCGCCTGAGACATGCCCACGATCTGGGCGCGAATCCAGGAGTGTTCCCACCTGCTTTGGCGGCTCCCCTTTGGGGTGCCCAAATGCCACGCATTCTTTGTCGCGGTGAGCAGTGGTCCAAGTGAGACTAAGTATGAGTGACGAGTGAGTCTGAGTTTGAGTGAGTTTGACTCTGCGTGGGTTGGAGTATGAGCGAATCATGAGTACGACCGAATACGAGTGTGGGTTTGAGCGAGTCGGGCTACGGGTGAGTCAGTGAGTGGGTCTGAGTGTGTGGGTGGATCCGGATCTGAACATGCGTGGGTGCGAGTGCACGAGGGAGGCGGGTGTTGGGTGAGGCGGGACGTCCGAGTGATAAGAGAAACACCAGTTCAGGAGATGGGGGATAATGATTGTATAAGCAAGGGCTCCCACGAGGGCGCGAAGTTATTCGCGCTTCGCGCTTCGCGGTCCTCGTTCCTCCTCCCCCTCCTCCTCGTCCTCCATTGTACGGTAGGTTCGTGTCGTGTCGACCGGCGGCGACCCCAGCGCGGACGTTCAAGGTTGAACGCCGACGGCGGCCCAGAATCGTTCGATGTTGAACGATCGGACATTGCGGAGACGGCCGATCGTTCAAGGTTGAACGATCCAGCGCGGTTTCAGGAACCAACGCCAGGGTCGACACGGCACGGACCTGCAGCATAAGCCTCCAGCTATTGGTTCAAAACCGCCGAATAAGTTCTCATGGCCCTTAGCAAGGGCTCCCTCGAGGGCGCGAAGTTATTCGCGCTTCGCGCTTCGCGGTCCTCGTTCCTCCTCCCCCTCCTCCTCGTCCTCCTATTCTCCCTCTGGGAGGGCGGCGCGAGAGCGCGAAGTTATTCGCGCTTCGCGGAGCGCGAAGCGCGAAGTTGGGAGCCCTAGTATAAGCCTCCAGCTATTGGTTCAAAACCGCCGAATAAGTTCTCATGGCCCTTAGATTGAACATGTTTTGAGCCCCGAACCGGGCCTCCGGGTCGTCTGAAAAGGGTCTCGGCGTTGTCTCGGGGCTTTGTGGGGTCGTCTTGGTGGCAGCTCGCCAGGACGGCAGAGGTAAGGGGGTGGGTCACGACTGGGGCGCGACGAGGGCAAGAGCCGCCCGCAGAGGGTCGAAGAAGCCCCAAGAGGCAAGTCAGCAGGCACTCGAGCACGCCGCAGCGCGCAGGAGGCGCGGAGGTGGACCATCCAGACAAGAACCCCGAGAACAAGGAGACTGCGGAGGCGTCGTTCAGGAAAGTCGCCGAGGCCTACGAGGTCCTGCGAGACCCGGAGAAGCGCAGGCGGTACGACACCTTCGGCCCAGCGGGCTTGGAGGTCGAGGCAGCCAAAGCCACGGGGGCAGGGAGATGCAGGCTCCTCCACTCCTCCTCCTGCTCTTCAGGAGGAGGAGTGGAGGAGGGAGATGCGGCGCGCAGGCTCCCCCCGCCCTCCCCCGGGGGGCAAGGAGTCCCACTGGCTGGCAGGGCTCGGGCCCTGCGCGCGCGCAGGCAGGCCCCCCAGAGAGGTGCGTCCTGGCGTCCTGGCTGCCCTCTGCAGGCCCCCCAAGCGGGGCAGCCCCAGGCGGGCTCGGCGCCCCAGGCTCCGCGCATGGAGGGGGCGCCGCGGGAGGCGGCGCTGCGGTGTGGAGTCCGCTCTGGGCGTCCCCGCAGGCTTGCGAAGGCTAGCCAGGACTACCTCTCTGGGGACTGCCTGTGGTCAACCCCTCCACCCCGGGCCTCACCAGAGGACGGTGACGACGACGGCGGCGGCGACGACGGCGAGTCTCAAACGGTATCCCTGCTGTTTTTCGCGGCTCTGGAGAGGGAGCTGGTCCTGGCGTGCACGGAGGTTTCTCGCGAAATCACGCCGACAACATCTTCAACGCCTTCTTCGGGGGCCCGGACTGGGGCCCGAAGAGCGACTACTTATTTTCGACGCCCTGTGACTACGGGGACCAGTTGGTGAAAAAGGAGGAGGCGGAGGGGGAGGAGGAGAAGGAGGAGGAGGAGGAGGAGAAGTAGAAGTGATACACAGCATGCGCTGGCTCCGTGCCTGGAGGCACGCAGGGCCCCACGGCACTGATGGCCAGAGTGGACAGACTGCTAGGAATGATCAGAGAGGATGGTGCCCCTGGTTTACATTGGTTTCAGCGTGGCGGGCTAGTTAACAGCATAGATCTGCGCGTGACTGACAAAGCCGAGGTGATTATGAGCAAAGCACTGGAAGCCCGCCTAGCCGCAAGGTGATGCAACTCTTGCAATGCCGCGCAAGGCCTACAGGTCACCGTGGAAGGGTGCATCCCAGCTTGCGGCTTAATACGTGAATGAGGCTCTGAAGGATGCATGGGACCGACCTCAAGGTGCTCATTGAACGGCTAGCAAAGTGCGAGGTGAAAGCGGATACCAGAACATTGTTTGAGGATCCGTTTGCTTGCAGGTATGCACAAGGAGGTTGCAGGAGGGGCGGAGAAGAGAGAGAAGAAGAGGTCACCCCACACCCTTCACCATAACACGCACACGTGTGTCGTGCGTGCCAGCGAGGCGAAGCTGCGCCATGACGCTCATGTGTCGGCCAAGGCTAGGATTATGATGTTCCAGCCTATTGTCTAGTAGCCTGGAGCACCAGAAAGAATCTCTAGCCCCAAGAAGGTACCGAAACTGAAGGTTTTTCACGTGTCGGGCCCTGGGAGGCGATACTAGTTCGACACTTCGCGAGCGGATCGGGCAGACATTGCTTCGATAATTTCCTGGGTGCTCAAACTTAGTTCTGGGATTTGCTCCTGAGGTATGATGGGCGCAACATAAGGCTAGGGTCGAATGGTCTAACAAATGTTTGCTCTGGTCATGCAGTGCCTCTCCTGTGCTGTCCCACGGTTATCCCGCGGTTGTCCATGGATGTCCAGCGGTTGTCCCGTGGGCTGTGCTGTGGTAGCCGCGCGGGTTGCCTTGTGGTTGTCCCATGTGTCGTCCCGTGGGTTGTCTCGTGGTCATCCCGTGGCCTGTCCCGCGGGTTGACCCGTGGGCTGCCCCGCGGCGTAGGTCCGCGGGCAGGGTTAGACGTGCATCGGGCGGCAAGACAGGTAGATTGTGATAACGGTACATGGAGAGGTCGATGCACGTAGCACCCCGCAGTCGCGGATAAGAGTGAGGGGGCGGCGGGGACGTTTGCAATCTGCCAGGCTCTGAAAGGCCGCCGCAGGCGCCTAATTCTTGCAAATTCTACCACGTGCCCGCCGCAGGCGCCGATTTTGTTCATCAAACCGATGTGGGTGGGTCGCGGGGTGGGTCGCGGGTGGGTCGCGGGTGGGTCGCGGGCCGGGTCGCGGTTGGGTCGCGGGTGGGACGAGGGTGTGTCGCTAGTGGGTTGCAGGTGGGGCGGGTCGTGGGGCGGGTCGTGGGTGGGTTGCGGGGTGGTTCGCAGGAGGTCGCGGGTGGGTCGCGGGCGGGTCGCGAGCCGGTTCGCGGGCGAGTTCGCGGGCCGGGTCGCGGGGGAAACGACGCCAAGCAACACAAACAAACAAACAAACAACAACAATAATAATATAAGAACAACAACAACAGCAACGAGAATCCGCATCGCGGGATCCTTTTTCAGCCACGCACCCAGGGACAGTGAATGACCGTTCGGCCCTCTCACTCTGGACGGTCATTCATTGTCCCTGGGTGCGTAGTTGAAGTGGGATTCCGCGATGCAGAGTCTCGTCGTTGTTGTTGTTGTTGTTGTTGTTGTTGTTGTTGTTGTCGTTGTTGCTGTTGCTGAGGCTGTTGCTGTTGCTGTTGTTGTTGGTGGTGTTGTTGTGGTTGTGGTTGTTGTTGTGGTTGTTGTTGGTGTGGTGGTGGTGGTTGATGTTCTTTATGTTGCTGTTGTTGTTGTTGTTGGCGGTGGTGCTGTTGTTGTTGTGATTGTTGTTGTGGTTGTTGGTCGGGTTGGTGTTGTTGTGGTTGTCCATGTTGCGGTTGTTGTTGTTACCGTGGTTGTTGTTGTTGTTGATGATGATGTTGTTGTTTATATTGTTGTTGTTGTTGTTGCTGGTGTTTGTTTGTTGTTGCTTGGCGTTGTCCCCCCCGCGACCCAACCGCGACAAACCCGCGACCCACCCCGCGACCCACCCTCGACTCATCCACGACCCATCCCGCGACCCGCCCGTGACCCAGCCCGCGACCCACCCACGACCCACCCGCAACCCACCGGCGACCCACCCGCGAGCCACCCGCGACCCAGCCCGCGACCCACCCGCGACCCACCCGCGACCCACCCGCGGCCCACCCGCGACCCACCCGCGATCCACCCGCGACCCACACGGCGACCCACCCACATTGCTTTAACGAAAAATCGGCGCCTGCGGCGGGCCCGTGGTATCATTTGTAAACATGAAGCGCCTGCGGCGGACTTCTTCAGAGCCTCGCAGACTGCAGACCTTCCGGCGGCCCCTCACTCTTATCCGCGATTGCGGGGTGCTACGTATACATACATATACATATACATATACATATACGTATACGTATACATATACATATACATATACATATACATAAACATAAACATATAAACATATACATACACATATACATATATATATATGCATATGTATTGGTAGTGGGGGCTATGGGTGCACAATGGTTTTTGCACAAGTTGAAGTCGTCAATTCCACTGCTCGTGCAAACATCCCACCCGCTGACCCGCAAGTGGTCTAGCAAAGCTCATTCGGTCACGATTGCGTTTCCCGATTGGATGTGTTAGTTCTGCGGCCGCACTGGCGCGCGCACGCTTTCTCGTAGGTGGACCAGCTGGTTTGGCAAAACTGATGCGAACGCGATGGCGATTACCGATGTGAATTTCCCAGCACGTCTCAAGGCCCGAGCTGATGCGTGTGCACTTCAGCTCGGGTCGGTGACTTGGACGGGCGCGATACCATGACGACGTGAACCACGACTGCAGTGATGATGATATTATCGATGGTGGTGGCGATGGTGACGACGACGACGGCAAGGCCAATGACGGTGCTGAGGCTGGTGACGACGATGACGACGATGATGTCCAGATGTCGGTGACGAAGGTGATTGTGCTGATGCTGGTGATGACGACGGCGGCAATGACGGGGCGCGACGATGCCTGGAACGGCGGTACTGTTATGCAGCTGACAGCGGATGAGGGCGGCGAGGAAGTGCGCGCGCGGAAATGTTGTACACTTGCCAGGGTATGTTGTATAAGATTAGTGGTTCTCGCATGTGTCTAGCTAGATCGATCTTGACTCGCATCGGGGACATATGGTTTTTAACTGGTTTCGACGCGCGCGTGGCGGCCTTCGCATGCGGCCCGCATGGTATTATTGGATACGATTGCGTGCGCGTTGCGCATGCTGGATCAAAGTGGATGCACTGCCAACATCGTGTGGTGCAAGTGCGTACAGATCACATGGAGTTCCAATGACTGCCATATCACGTGGTGTTCCTCTGATGTCCTATGAGGTCCTGTATTTAAGATGGTTGCAACATGTGCGCGCGCTGGTGGACTGTGCGGTATGTGTTGCAGTGGGTTCTTGGAACATGATAGCTTGTGATCCACGTAACCGCGCTCATTGTATGAAAAGACAGAGATGCCAGTTGGGGTCGACTGTCCCGCCGCATGATGTACCAAGAACATTCGAAATGAAAGGACTCACGCTTTGATGTGGAAAACGCAGTACGCGCAGGGCGCACGATAACGCCGACCTCGAGGTGGGGTAGAGTCCATTCTTTAGCAAGGAGAAGTAAGACCGATAGATCGTGCAATCGAAAATTAGACCCTCAGGCCGACATAATGATATTGAAATCCGTGGGGGGTGCGTGAGATCGGAGGAAAACGAGGTCAGACTCCGATCGGACACCAATCGCAAGCCAAAAGCTGCGCCCATCCTCACCCCCCGCCTCCTTATGACTGTAGGGTGGTCTGTGAGGGCGCAGGATATGGCCAGCGGGATCCGACGCCGTGACACGACCAGAGCCCCCGAGTTCATCGCAACGCGCGACCTCTCGAGCCGGATCCATTTGTGACAGTCTCAGAGTTCGTAAGTGTTCGAAATGTTTGTCGTGTGGTTTTGCGAGGCCTAGGTGTCGGTGCCCACCTCCTACCTCCTCCTCCCCCCTGCTCCTGTTCCTCCTCGTTTCTTCCTCCTCTTCCCCCTCCTCCTCCTCCTCCTCCACATCCCCTCCTCCTCCTCCTTGCGACGGGTTGCCAACCATTCGACGGGCCCTCGATAATTCATTCCTCGTCTGAACCCGTGGGTGAGGCGACGGACTCTGCTGCTGCGCGTGATCGACCCGTTCAGCCACTTCGTGAATCTAGACCTCAGTCTTCTGGGCGGGGGAAGTCCCAGGATATGCTACCGTCAGTACATAGGCATCAACAGGCAAAAACACAGGATCCTGTCATTTCAGATCTGGTTACTGCTGCTGCGCGCGATTGTCCTGATCAGCAACGTCGTGAATCTTCTATTCAGTCTTCTGGGCATGGGAAGCCCACGGGTATGCTACAGTCAGAACATAGGCATCAACAATCAAAAACACAGGATCCTGTCATTTCAGGTCTTGTTGCTGCTGCTGCGCGTGATTGTCCTGATCAGCAGGTTCGCGAATCTAGACATCAGTCTTCTGGGCGGGGGAAGTCCCAGGATATGCTACAGTTAGTACACATGCATCAACAGTTAAAAACACAGGACCTTGTCATTTCTGATATGGTTTCTGCTGCTGCGCGTGATTGTCCTGACCAGCAACTTCGTGAATCTAGTCTTCAGTCTTCTGGGCATGGGAAGCCCACGGATATGCTACAGTCAGAACATTGGCAGCAACAGTCAAAAACACAGGATCATGTCATTTCAGATCTGGTTTCTGCCGCTGCGCGTGATTGTCCTGATCAGCAACTTCGTGAATCTAGATTTCCGTATTCTGGGCGGGGGAAGCCCCATGATCTGCATCCACACCTTCATGACTCTAGACCTCAGTCTTCTGGGCCTGATATGCTACCGTTTCAGTCTATGGGAACTGCGAGAGATTGGCCGCCGAAGTCTCGGGATGAATCATTCTTGAAATACCTCAACTATGCGATTTTGGAAGTCTCTCAACCAATGTCTCTGGGCAGCGGAAGGCAGCGAACGTGAATGATGAGCGCGGGAGACTCAACATATTCACAGGTCCTGCTCCTCCCGCTTCATGCTCCAGGACTTCTGAGGCCTCTGAGGCTCCTGAACCCTCCCCTGGGTCTTCTCTTTCTCGTCCTCGTCCTCACTCCCTCGACGCTCCGCCTCCCCCCAGGGCCCGTACGCTCGATCCCTTTTCCCTCCCAGCTGCATTGCAGAACAGCGCGCGGCTTCGAGAGCTCGTCCGAAGAGGCGTAGTTCAGGACATCCGCGCGGGAGTTGGAGCGGATAGGTTTGTGGTGGGGACGGGGGGGACTGGGCTGGGCGACGGGGAGGGGGGAAGGATCGCTGCCGCCGCCGAGGAGCAGGAGAAAGGGAGGATGGAGCGGCCCAAGGAGGATCGCACCCGCCCCCGATCTCAGCCCGCGCGGTGGCAGCGTAGCACGAGACGTCGATGAGGTGGTGTTTTTGGTTGGTGCCCGCAGGCACCCCGCAGGGCCCTCCCTGCTTTGGGGCCCGCTTTCGGGGCCGGCGGGGGCCGTTTTTTCCAGCTGAGGGCCCCCCATCGGATTCCGCGGGTTTGAAACCACGCAGGGACTTTATTTATTTGCTTCGATCGAGGCCTCCAGTTTTGTTTTCCTCTGTCCGAGTTGTAGTCCCCAGCGTTTCTTGGTCTTGGTCCACATTCGCGAACCGCCGCCGCCCGCAGAGCTCTCCTGTCGCTGGTCTGCTCTCAGCTCAGATCTCTGCGAAGTCCGTCCTAGCTGGCGCTGTACACTGTACACCAAACAAGACTCGCTGCCGAGTGGACCACAACACACCGCATGCACGTGCTCGTGCCCAGGCCCTGCGTCTTTGGTTGCACGGGCGCGCCAGATTCATTCCACCACTACTTTTCTTGCCCCGTCCTCGTGAGCCTCCTCTGGTCCCCCGACTTGCCTCCGCTCCTCAGCACGCTAACTACGTCGGCCATGGCCCTGCAGCCGCCTACCCTTCTGACCCTGCCAGCGACTTGTCGTTGCGGCGGGCGATACAGAGGGTGGCGCTTGCACTCCAGATTAGCAGCAACACGAACTTGAATGCAGCGCCGACACCAGACGCAATCGCGTCCGCGCTCAGCGCTGCCCGTCAACTCCTCTGGCGGTGAACCGCCTGTCTTCCAGCGCTGCAATCACGCTGAGTCTGCAGCGGCAGTGCGCGGCCGAGGTAAGACGGACGAGGTCGCTTCAATATATTTGCACACCCTTCCTCGTCCTCCTCCTCATCCTCATCTTCCTACCAGTCCTAGCGGGACCGCCGGTTTTCGCCGAGCGCGAGGGGGGCCGATTGGCCGCCAAGTAGCCACAGCCACAGCCTCCTACCATTCCTCCTCGTAATCCCAACAACATACGCCTCTTCCTCGTTTTCCTCCTGCTTCTCCTCATCCTCCGCCCACTGCCACAAGAGGCCATTGGAAGCCCCACGAAGCCCTCAAGAGGCCTCCTCCCCCTCCTCCTCCACCTCTTCGCCTCGTCTTCACACCTCTCCTACTCCTTATGGCCCACCAAACGTGTCGGTTGGGCCGGCCAGGCGTTTCGCCTGAGACTTCCCCACCGCTTATGATCTTGAAATTTGACATTTGCAACATATTCACGGTGACGGGCGGGTCGAGTTCAAAATGTGAGTCTCGCGCTAGCGCCGCGCATGTTCGCTTTAAAATTCTGAAGCAGCTTCATGGATGGAGGGCGGCTCCTTTTTCAAAATATGGTTTTGTCTGCAACGCCGCGCACATTCGTTTTACAAGTTTTCTGCGGTAGAGGTTCGTATGGCTAAAGTCCCAAGAATTATGTCCTGGCGCGCTTGATGGTAGTGAAGACGCAACAGTCACGTGCCCTAAGGCGGCCCAAAAGCCGCTCAAGATCGCCCCAAGAAGCACCAAAGAGATCCCGGGGCCCAACACTGGGAACACGAACCAAGACTCGAGCCTTTCACCCAAAGATGGCCCCAAGAGCCCCCCCGAAGCCCCCGAGACGTCCGCAAGAGGCCCCCAGACGCCCCCAAGAGCCCTCGCATAGGCCCTCAAGAAACGCCCAAAAAGCTCCCAATCAACCGCCCAAAGCCCTCCAGATGCCCCGAGAGTCTCCCGAGAGGCCCCGTCCTGCTCCTCGCCTCGCTCTCCTCTCACTCTACGTCCTTCTCATATCCTGCGTTCGTTCCAACCAGTCTTTACGATATTTCCTTGGGGGCCTGCGGATTGCGCAAGCTTCTTGAATTAACCGTCCATCCAAGTTCCCTTTTCATGGGCCCCTGCTACAAATTATGTTTCCTGCGGGGAGTGCACCAATGGAACACAAACCCTCTGCTAACCCTCAACCACGCCAACACAACACGGATCAACGTCTTTGTCGCGATTTGGCAACCTTTTGTCGCGCAAGAACGCCATTCTTGGGACTTCAACACCGCGAAGGGCCACGGGGGTGCGTTGACGAGCTCGTCCCCCGCCCTTCGAACTGGATTTAGGACCTTGGGGGAGGGGCAACAGGGGGAGGGAGGACAGCCAAATGTCTCACAAGTCTTCTCACCCCGGGCGATCGGGGGTCGGCGGAGGGCAGCATCGTGGATGCGCCTTAGGTTTGCACTGGTCCTCCTCCTCATTTTCCTCCTCCTCCTCCTATTCCTCCTTCTCCTCCTCTTCCTCCTCCGTCCTCCTCCGTCCTCCTCCTCCTCCGCCCCCGTACTCCCTCCTCCTCTTCCTCCCCCTCCTCCGTACTCCGTCCTCCTCCTTCTCCTCCTCCTCCTTCTCAGATTCCTCCTCCTCCTCCTTCTCTTGCTCCACTTTCTCCGCCTCTTCTTGCTCCTCCTCCTCCTCCTCCTCCTCCTCCTCCTCCTCCTCCTCCTCCTCCTCCTCCTCCTCCTCCGAACTCCGTACTCCGTCCGCCTCCTCCTCCTCCTCCGTACTCCGTCCTTCTCCTCCTCCTCCTCCTCCTCCTCCTCCTTCCCCTCGTTTCGGCAAAGGACCCTTTTGGTCTCGGCGGGGGGCTGCTCGGCGGGGAGCCGTCGCGGTTCTCGTTCGACACGGGCGCGGGCGCGCCTGGCCGCCCAAGACGGGCGGCCCACGCCGCGCACGCGAAGGCCTGCCTCCTCGCCCTCCTCGTCCTGCTCCTCCTCCTTCTTCCTCTTTCTCCACCTCCTCCTCCTCCTCCTCCTCCTCCTCCTCCGCCTCCTCCTCCTCCTCCTCCTACATCTCGCTTCCCCCCTTTTCGCTCGCTCTGCGCACCCGTTTCGATCTGGTCGTGCCTCCTCCTCCTCCTGCTGCTATTCCTCCTCCTCCTTCTCCTCCTCTTGCTCCACCTCCTCCTCTCCTCCTCCTCCTCCTCCTCCTCCTCCTCCTCCTCCTCCTCCTCCTTCCTCCTCCTCCTCCTCCTCCGTCCTCCTCCTCCTTCTCCTCCCCCTCCTCCGTACTCCGTCCTCCTCCTTCTCCTTCTCCTCCTCCTCCTCCTACTCCTCCTCCCCCTCATCCTCCGCCTCCCCCTCTCGGAGGCTGATCGAATCGAAGAGGAAGTTATGCATATAAGCATAAACAGATGGAGTTCCGGGCGGGTTTCTTGGATCGGCACTGGGCCCTCCTGGCGACGCCTCCAGGGCCGCCCCTGAGCGCAGATCCAAGACATCCACGCGGGCCTCCCAAAGTTTACGCTTGTGTGGTTTGGTTCCTCTGGGATCGAACCCTCACCTTGCCAAGGCCATTAGCGAATCGCCCTTTTTCGGTTCTGGAGAGGGTGGTGCTACCGCACTTGTTTGCGAGCCTGCGCCCACCGAGTCTGGTCCCAGGTCGGTTTCACTAAGATGTTTTGCTGAAGCAGGGTCCGATCCATCCCCGATCCAATTGCTCATCATCCTCCTCCCGCCTTCCCCTCCCTCCATCGTCCTCCCCCTCCCATCTCATATCCCTCCTCCCCTGGAGCGGGCGCAGGGTCCGACTCACGTCAGGCACGAGTGGCCGTCTACCGTTGGTCGGAGCGTTCAGCAGGGGCGCTGGACGAAGGACGGGGCGGGCGACGCTACACTCGTTCGCGTCCAAGCGACGCAAGTAGGCGGGCTGTTCCTTCGTCTTGTGCGCAGCACAGATTAGACGATCTCCCCTCCTTCCTTTGCCCGAACGGGCCCGTGCGGCACTGGAAGGATGCTCCATGAGTACAACCTAGACAACAGGCTTTTGCGAATCCTTGCCGAAGCTGTCCAGCGCCCCCCCGCGCCGCGGACATGGCGCAAAAATTGTGATTCTTGATCCTGGAGACTGCCTCAGGAATCATCGGGACTCGCAAAACGATCTGGACAATGTCCTCATTCATCCTGAAGATGTCAAGACGATATCCGAAGCAATCTAAATGAACTTCCTTCGAACAAATCGCAACGAGTTCTTTTTGCAAGGTTCCGAGTTGTCTCACGATCTCCACAGGACTTCCTCAGGAACCCTAGAGCCTTCATGGGGGGTTTTGAATCGGCGTCACCCCGACATAATATTACTATGTGTGCGTCGCCCCCCCAGGGGCGACGCGCGCGCCGAGAACTCTTATAGTAGATGCGTCGTGGTGGGCGCCTTCTGGCCGTAGCACTCGGGAAACGATGTACTACAATACGGTGACACTAGATGTTTGGGTCGGATGCACCCCTCTGGGGAGGATAAATAGTACTAGTATATCCTTGTGCGTCCCATAGAATCTTCTGTAATCGCAAGGACCCCCTTCGGAATTATTTGATAGCCCTGCACAGGCGGATACCTTCAGCAGTCGCACGCAAGGACTCCCTCCGGAATTCTCGGGGATTCGTACGGGATCCTGGTGAAGGCATCGTGGGTCTTCCGCATTTTCTCGCAGAGTTCTGAAGATCTCCCGCGGATCCAAAAGGATTTCCCGAGGCATCGTGTAGGATGTCACCGCGGCGGAATCCGTCCTCCAGCGCCCCGAGGTGCCGCGCATCGCGCAGCGATGCCCCCGCCGATGCGACGCAGCTTCCCCGTTCGTGGCCCCCGCCCGTGCGTGTGGTGCCCGGTGGCGCAGCGAGGCCCCACCATCGCCCGCGGAGCGAGACCCACCAGCCAACCGCGGCGCGAGGTTCCCGCCGACGCCCAATCCCCGGTCGCGCAGCGATGCGACGAGGCGCCACCCCAGGGGCGGGGCCCCTTGCCAACTAGTCGCGGGGCGAGACCCCCTTCGGATGCGGCGCGTGCAGCTAATGTCAACCCATTTGCAGGGGGCCGCGTGGGTCTCATCGCCGAGGGCCCCAGTCTGAAACAGAGCCGCCCTCCGTCGAGACTTTTTCGGGTGGCGAGGTGGCCGTGCGCGGCGTGATGGCGAGGGCTCCGCTTTGACGGCGGCGTGGGGTCATCCTTCAAGCAGCTGCGCACGCTCAAGATGGATGTGCATGGCGCGAAGGCGAGGGCCCCATTCTGAGAACCGCCACCCTTCCATCCTTGACGCCGTGGCAGACTTCAGAGCTTCAGCACCACAGCTGGTGAGGGTGTCTCGGGCGAGACGCCCAGCCCGCCCGACCGACGCGCCCTGGGGTTCGACAGGGAGGGATTATCCACGAAGGAAGTCGGGGGCGGCCAAGAGGGGCGTGACGACTACGGGGGGGGGGGGGGGGCGTATCCCCTGCCGGGGCCATGGTATCTCCCTGGAGTTCGTGGCCCATTCTATTTATTTCAATGCGTCCCTTGATCCTCCGGGCCATGACGCGCCAACCCCCTTATTCGACGCCCCTGGGGACAAGTGGTGGAGGACCTCCTGTGGTTTCCTTCCCGCCCTCCCTTCAGCCGCCGGGCGTGAGCGTGGTCGTCCGCGGGCTCACCAAGGCCCCCGAGCACAACGGCAGGTCGGCACAGATCTGCAGGCGCTTCGGGTGGTTTCTTGGGCGGCGGCGGAAGGCGACCTCGAGGTTCGAGGATCAACCTAGACCTCCCCAGATCTCCGACGACATGTGTTTTTTCCAACTGGCGGTGTTCCTCGATTCTGGCCTCTGGGGCCGGTTTTCAGGTCTCGGGACGGTCAGAAACAGATCCAGGACTTCAGAATTGGCACCAGGGAAGGGGTCGGGACCTCTGCGGCCGTGGACTTAAAAAAGAAATCGTCGGATGTCAGGGTCTGCAGAAGCGAAAAATATCGAATCCGATGCTGATGCTTTTTCTGGCCCGTCGACCTCTGGCGGAGGCCGTCTTCGGTTCCCGGGGCCGTCATCAAAAGATTGCAGAAACCGTTCACAGAGAAGCGGTTGGGAGGTCCAGGGTCCCGAGGCTCGAACAGATTCTGGGCATGTCCGAGATCTCTGCGCGCTCTGGGCGTCTGCCGTGCCTCCTGGAGCCCCCTCGTCGCCACGGCCAGGTCCGCCTGGAGATTCTGGCCGACGGGCATGTGGTGGACGGGGGGAAGAAAGAGGAGGAGGAGGAGGAGGAGGAGGAGGAGGAGGAGGAGGAGGAGGAGGAGGAGGAGAAAGGAGCAGGAGGAGGGAGGAGCAGCAGGAGCAGCAGCAGGAGCAGCAGGAGGAGGAGGAGGAGGATGAGGAGGAGGAGGAGGAGGAGGAGGAGGAGTAGAGGGGGGGGGGAAGCTGCCAGGACCGACGCAAGAACCACATTGCCGGAGATCTGGGCGCTGGTGCCCTGGTCCTCCACCCTCCGCGGCGGCGGCGGCGGCGAGGAGCAAGAGGAGAGAGGCAAAGGAGGAGGTGCATCATCAGCAGCAGCAGAAGAGGAGTAGGAGCAGCAGCAGGAGAGCAGCAGCAGTAGCAGGCAGAGAAGGACGAGTGGCGAGTAGGATGAGGGCGGGCCACCAGTGATGATGGTGGGGCTCAGGAGCAAATCTGGAGCAGAAGGAGGAGCAAAGCCAGCCCGAACGGGTCAGCGCGCCCCTTCCAACCGTTCCACACAAGAATTACACAGGCGAAGGACCCAACCATATGCAGCTTTCGGTATCGCATTCGCGGGAGCCCCGTATGGGGCCACGAAACGCTGTACTGTGTGGGAGGGACGCATGCGAACTGCGCCACTGGGACCTTCGGTGGAGCTCCCTATGGGGCCACGATGGGGGGGACGCGTGCGAACTGCGCCACTGGGACCTTCGGTGGGATCCCTATGGGGCCACGAAACGCTGCCCTGGGTGTGGGGAGCCGCATGCGAACTGCGCCACTGGGACCTTCGGGTGAGCTACCTATGGGGCCACGAAACGCTGCCCTGGGGGGGGGACGCATGCGAACTGCGCCACGGGGACCTTCGGTGGAGCTCCCTATGGGGCCACGAAGCGCAGCCCTGGGCAGGGGAAAACCACATGCGGGCTGCGCCACTGGGACCTTCGGTGGAGCGGACTATGGGGCTACGAAACGCTGCCCTGGGTGGGGGAACCGCATGCGGGCTGCGCCACTGGGACCTGCACTGGAGCTCCCTATGGGGCCACGAAGCGGTGCCCTGGGTGGGGGAACCGCATGCGGGCTGTGCCACTGGGACCTTCGGTGGAGCTCCCTATAGGCTACGAAACGCTGCTCTGGGTGGGGGAACCGCATGCGGGCTGTGCCACTGGGACCTTCGGTGGAGCTCCCTATGGGGCTACGAAACGCTGCCCTGGGTGGGGGAACCGCATGCGGGCTGTGCCACTGGGACCTTCGGTGGAGCTCCCTATGGGGCTACGAAACGCTGCCCTGGGTGGGGGAACCGCATGCGGGCTGTGCCACTGGGGACCTTCGGTGGAGCTCCCTATGGGGCACGAAACGCTGCCCTGGGTGGGGGAACCGCATGCGGGCCCCACTGGGCCTTCGGTGGAGCTCCCGGAAATAGAGCGACCTACGCTGCCCTGGGTGGGGAACCGCATCTGTGCCACTGGGACCTTCGGTGGAGCTCCCTATGGGGCTACGAAACGTGTGAGAGGTGTGCCGAGAGCAGAGGCAAGGAGGGGGAGGAGGGAGGAGGGCGAGGAGGGGGAGGAGGAGGAGAGGAGGTGGGACGCGGGGCGCTGTCTCTTCAAAACGAGGACCCAACACCACAGGATGGTTGGGAAAAAGTGGCAGCGCTGCGAAAAACAAAGCAGATTTCTTGGATCCGGTGCGGATCCAAGAAATCCGCGCGGAGCGCCAAAAGTTTATGTTTACGTGTTTTGGTTTTCTTCTACTGCATCCGTCGTGCTCCTCCTGCTCGGTCTCAACGGCGTTGATCCGCCGGATCTCGACCCAACCCCGCCCGATGCGCGGGCGCGAGCGCGAGGTGGGACGAGGCCCGCGAGAGGTACGACGTCCGGCTAGATGCGGGCGACATGCTCTCCCTCAGGCCCGTCTTCGCCCCACGGGAGAGAGGAAGGGAGGAGGAGGAGGAGGAGGAGGAGGAGGAGGAGGAGAAGGAGCGGGAGGAGGAGGACGAGGAGGAGGAGGAGGAGGAGGAGGAGGAGGAGGAGGAGGGGAAGGGCCGAATCGGGAGCGGGGTGTCCAGCGAGGAGACCCCCCAACGGCGCAAGGGGGCGGGGGGCGGCAGGAGCCCCCCCCACATGCGCGTGAGCGGGAGTCGGTCACCCGCCGCTCGAGTGCCTCGCCTCGGGGAAGGGAGGCGGAACCGTGGGGACTCCCCCCCTCGCCCTCCGCGGCACGCTTTGCAGGGCGCAAGTCTGCCTCACTGACTCGCTGGCTCCTGTTTCCCCAACCACGCCGTTTCAACACGTAATGCACATCGGGCAGCCCGCTTGTTTCCCCCCTCGCCTTGCGCTCGCCGCGGCACGTGCTCGGCAGGGCGCGGGCTTGTTTTTATCCGCCACGGGGCCAGCGTGGCAGCGCAGCATGAACGAGATGGAGTTAAAGACCCGCTCCAATTTAGCGCTCAGTCCGAACTGGCGCGGATCTTGCATGCCCCCTCCTTGTCCGCAGCCTTGTTCTTGTATGTGTTCCTCCTTCCTCCTCGTCTTCTTCCTCCTCCTCCTCCTCATACTCCTCCTGTTCCTTCTCCTCTACGCTTTCCCCATCCCCATGCCAACTTCTGAACGGGCACCGATTTCAAACTCCACCTTCTCCTCTTCCTCCTCAGACCGGCTGCCTCGCCATCCGCGAGGAAACGTAACAAGGCAGACGAGGAGGAGAAGGAGGTCATCTATGATTGGCGACAGGGGGAGGCAGCGGAAGAGGAGGAGGAGGAGAAGGAGAAGAAGGTTGAGTTTGAAACAAGGTTTGGGCTTGAGTGGGCCTGGGGGCCCGCAGCAGCACCTAACCTCATATGTGGCTGGTTCCGTACGCCAGCCCACTCCCGTCGCGACAGAGCGTCGGCCGGAGCACTCGTTCGGTTAGGATCGGCAGCAGACCTCCTTCGTGACCACCACAGTGTTCAGCAGGGACAGTCAATGACAAGCAATGTCGCAAGCACGAAAGAATACTTCAAGTGCGCAGCCTGTGACTGTTCAAAGAGCCTGTCGTGGTGAAGATGGTGCAAGCAAACACTAATTACTTCGGGCCGCTTCGGAAGATTTTTACGGGCAGGGATCGTGGCGTTGCTAGCCGTGGCACGTCGCCTGCTCTTGATGCGCAGTGGTGGCCATGGCGGCTGAGTTCCCCCGGGAGACCCAGCGTGGGCAGCGTCAGGAGAAGGTCCCCCAGCGTCACTTTCGAGGACGGCACAGCGCCAGATAATGAGCGGCCTGAGGGTGGTGAGCCAGAAGCCCCAACGGAGGAGCAGCGGCTCACAGCCCTGTTGGCAGGAGTAGGAGACATGGGTGCGGCCAGTAAGTGCAAGCAGCAGCTCGAGAAGGTCAAAAGGCAGCAGCAGGAGGCCAACCTGTCAGCCGGGCACGCCCATCAGAAGGTACAACGAGCTGAGGCGACCCTCCGCCAAGCGGTCGAGAGGTGCGAGCGGTTCGAGCAGCAGCATGCGGAAGGACGGGAAGATGTGGAATCATGTTCGGTTGAAGTGGAAGTGGCGAGGGCCACATACCAGTCAGCAGTCAAGAAATTGACACAAACCGTCGAAGGCGACGGATCTTCGGCTAGCCATGATGGAGGCCTACGGTCGACCTCGTGGCATTACAGGGCGGGCAAGAGTTCATCCTTGATGATGGTGGACGTCTCGGACTGGATGAGTTTGTCGATGTCGTTACGGAAGCGGACAAGTTTGAGTCTCAATGGAGGAACGAAGTTTTCCAACACCAGCGGAGGCCGCCAAGGCATGCTTCGGAAAGTTTAAGGGAAAGCCGTCAGCCACCAAGGACGAGCAGGCCAAGCTGCGAGAGCGGCTCAAGTCGAGCCGCCCCCGCATCGCCGAGCCACACAGCTCCGCGGCTGCTGCGGCCTCCGGCGCCAGCGCACCAGCAGCGCCGCCGGAGCCCGCCAGCGCAGAGAGCCGGCAGCAGCCTCCCCCGGGTCCCTGCAGAGGGCGCAGTGGGAGCACGCGGGCCGCCGACCCCGCCCAGGCCCAGGAAGAAGTCGATCGCGGCGGATGCCGTGGCCAGGCTGGCCAAGAGCAACGGGAGCGGGCGTGGGGACGCGGCTGCGCCGCTACCGAGTGGGCCACGGTAGTGGGAGATGCTGGGCCTTCGACGGCAACGTGTCGGGTCCGCTGTTGTTCTTTACTCCGTGGAGTGCCTGTCCCGGGTTCGACTGCGCTGAAAGATGGGATGTCAACGGGACCAGTTACCCGTCGCGCGCCACGAGGGAGCCAGACGTCATTGGGGACGAGTGGCAGGACAGAGCGGTCACGTCACAATGTTTCGTTGGACCCGCCTGGCTGGCACGCACTGCTTGCCGAACCTCAGCAGAGGGCGCCGACCGCCCGGGAGTGGCAGTGCCGCACGAGTGCACCTGATCAGCGGAAAATTTGAGCGGCGAGTCAGGTCACATGGTCGCAGAAGCCACGCCAGGCTCAGGGTAAGCCTCGGATCGCTCGGAGCAGCATGGCGCATCCCAGACGCGCTCAACCACCATGAGTCGGCAGCCAGACGGGGCCAGATGAAGTGGCGCGTTAACCACGTCTACAGCTACATGAAACACCCCAGCTTCGCCTGCACAGCCTAGCGAGAGTCAGCGGAGGGAGGGTGGTCGGTGGAGTAAACGAGACGGTCGTTGGCGATGAAATCTAAGATGGCGCATGGAGGCGAAGCAGCAGTGGCCGCCGCGCCCCGCGTCGCGGATTTGTCGGGCCGAGGCAGAAGAATGACGAGATGGCCAGACGCGAGATCCAGGCAATCCACGCGTCAGCGTCGGCTCGGCATCAGTTGCAAAGGCTCGCCAGCATGCCCAGGTCCACGATAGCCGCGCGGACGCGGCGAGACCCTGCTCGCCGGCCGGTCGCGCCCAGGAAGCTCGCGGGCCACCAGCGTCTCGAAGTGACACAAACCGAGAGCGAGCAAAAGTCTCATCGGGGCCAGGCGACAGTTAGCCACTGACCCCGACCGAGCCCTCGCCGGGTTCCGCCAGCTCGGGCAGCGAGCCGGCCCAGACGATTGCGAAGAGGAGGCGCGCAGGCACGGCGAAGAGCCCAGCGAGACGCAGCGCTGGACGACGTAAGTCTCGCGCGCACCCCGTTCACGCGCCAGTACTTCTGCGTCGCCTTCGCCGAGGCCCGCGCCCAGATCGAGGCCCGCTGCTGCAACCGGCAGCCGGCAGGGGTCTCAAGGCAACGCTGTGGATGGCAATCTTTCTAGCTCAGAAGAACAGATCCCACGCTGGCCTTCACCGACTAACTAGCGTTTCATCGCGATCAACCCGAACGCTCGAAGCAGTTCCCAGGGCGCGCGTGAGCGGCAGCTGCCACGGGGACCTCTGCAAGGCCAGAGCTCGGGGGGGGGGGCCATGGAAGTCGCTTGGGAAGAATCTCGATCGAGAAGTCTTCAAAATGGGCCCATTCAGTGCAGGTTCCGCGCCAGCTTCTGCGAGGCAGATCCCACGGGGGAGCACGATTTGGAGACCAGCGTCGACGGCGATAACCCACGTCAGCAGCAAGGAAATGACGCGCAAGCGCACGGGGTTGAGGACGTCAACTTTGGGGCGGGTCTCTGCCGCGCTGGTGGATGCGATTGTTCATTCGGGGGTCCTGCGGGCCACGGTCGATGCTTACGTCGGGAAGGAGTGGTCTGGAGACGCCCTGGAACTCCTGGAGGACCTTGCAAGCTACCTGCAAGGATGCCGCGGGCCGCGGATTCTCGGGGGAGATGTCAGCATGGCGCCCGCAAGCCCAAAGATTCGCAACTGGAGTCAGATGCTAGGTGCCAGCAGTGCAGCCCCCTCCCGTGCACCTTTGCCTCCGCTGCGGGCACAAGCAGGCGCCTCGACTTCTGCGTGGTCTCGCGTGGCGTGGCCGACGGCGTCGTCGACAGATGCGCACGGCGCCGCGTGGGCCGCGCACGCCAGTCCAGATCGCTGTCCGCGGACTGCGACGGTCCGAGTCACCTGGAAGCCTTTCCCCGCCCGGCCCCAGGCGGGCCGCTCGAAGAAGCCGATGGGACACCAGTCTTGGTACAGCGCCTATGGGGGCCACGAAACGTGTGAGGGGCGTGCTGACATGGGCGGCGGGGGCGCATGCAGGCCGCGCCACTGGGACCTCCGGTGGAGCTCGTCTGGGGCCACGAAACGTGTGAGGAGTGTATCATAATGGGTGGCGGGGGCGCATGCGGGCTGCGCCATTGGGGCATTCGGTGGAGCTCCCATGGGTCCACCGAAACGTGTGAGGGGTGTGCCGAAATAGGTGGCCGGGACGCATGCGGGCTGCGCAACAGGAACTAGGCGGAGCTCCTTACGGGACCGCGAAATGTTCGAGGGGTGTGCCGAAACAGGTGGCGGGGACGCATGCGGGCTGCGCCATTGGGACCTCGGTGGAACTCTTATGGGGCCACGAAGCGTGTGAGGGGCGTGCCGACATGGGTGGAGGGGTCGCATGCGGGGTGCGCCACTGGTGCCCTTGGTGGAGCTCCTTGGGGGGCCACGAAACGCGTGAGGGGTGTGCCGAAATGGGTGGCGGGTACGCATGTGGGCTGCGCTACGGGCACCCTCGGTTGAGCTCATATGGGGGCCGCGAAACCTGTGAAGGATGTGCAAAGTGAGAGGGGTGACGGGAGGAGGGAGAGGAGGAGGAGGAGGAGGAGGAGGAGGAGGAGGAGGAGGAGGAGGAAGAAGAAGAGGAGGAAGAGAAGGAGGAGGAGAGGAAAGGAACGCGGGGCGTTGTCTCTTAAAACCGGCTGGGAAACAATATAACACATAGAAGATTAGTGATCTATGTGTATAGATATACGTGTATATATAGGAAGAAAGGAGAAAGAGAGAGAGAAAGAGAGAGAGAGCGAAACACACACACACACACAC